TGGAATTATGGGATCGTAATAAGTTTGTTAGCCCATGTAGTAAACCCACGTTAAAATTTTAATTAAAATAGTATTATTTTTCATTTTTATTTTTATGTCAGCAATATTATACATGGATGAATAATTTTTAATTTGTTTTTTTACTATGACAACAAAAAATTTAAACAATATTTTCATTTAATTTTTCTTATAATGATTAGATTATTTAAACATTCATGTTATAAGAAATTCAGGATTAAATAAATGATTGCTAATTAGTAAAATAAAATAAAATTGTACTCACGCAGTTTTTTTGGTAAAGCCAAGTCGCCAACAACGGAAAATGGAAAATGAAGTCGTAATAATCGAATAATCATATTTCATATAGATAAAACCTAAATTTTATCTCTACTATCGAATTGCGTTCTATGTAAAGAGAGGGTAATTACGGATATGAATAAAATCGGACGGAATAAAAATGATACGAAAATTGCCACTTTACAACATTTAAACTTTACTTTATGTAGTGAAACATACATATACATACATATATTAATACCTATAATATTCAATACACGACATACTTCTCCATGTTGATCAATATTTTTGGTGTTGGCCGGGGGCCCCATTTTAAAGATTAATAATGTCATATGGACAATTTTATAAGCTAAAGCTCTCTGTAGATTTTTCAATTCGAAAAAACGTACCGGAACTCAAAAAATTGAGCCAAATTGACCCAGCCGTTCTCAACTGATGAATTGTTATATTTTTTTGACTCCATTTATATATAATATAGATAATATTGTAGTATGTTGCACTTGCACAATGTCATTGTCCATACATTATTATTAGTTTTGACGAACGAAGATACATAGTACAGGTGTTAAAAATGTAATACGGCGCTCCAGGTATGCAATATTGATGCTTGTGCGCATTTATTTGTTATTGGTTATTACAAAGATAACCATAATAATATGATATTACTCTACTTTTATAGTTATTACTTGTTATACACTATGCAGACAGCGTTGGAGGGATTAATTAAAATTATTTTTTTTCATTGGAAATTCATGATTATGATTAAATATTGTTAACCAACTGCAAGCTTATTTATTTAAAATTCGTTTTGATTTGTTTATTATTAAATTAAAAAAACAAAAATGTCAAAGCCACGAAGAACTAAAAGAAAAACAAAAGAGGCAAGAACAAGAGAATGGCCATGGCAAAAAAAAGACAATTTTCTTATTATTTTCCTTAAAATACCACATCTAGTGAATTCTCGAGTTAATAACACTTTATGAATAAAATACATATACATCTGTGTTCGTATAATATACCTTAATATAGTAAGTTGTTGAAACATGTCAACATGTTTAGAATCGAAAAATAGTATGTTCTTGCACTATAATAATTATTAAATCTTTAGGATCTCATTATTTATAGCTTACAATAAAATTGTTCATAATTAAATCTCAATTGTTGGAGTTATTTTTCAGATTTTGGACTTTACACCTTTTTTTGGTATTGTTTAGATTCTGAAAATAGTGATGAAGTTTTATTTTACAATGATGTGTGCTTTATTTGTGACTTTAGTCACCTTTTTTTCAATTTTCATCGAATGATTTTCTTATTTTGTTTTAATTAAAAACGACTGACAGTAAATACTTGAAATAACTACAGAATGTTTATTTGATCATTTTTTATACAATTTTCAAAATATTCTGACTCGTTTTGAGCTTATTTTAGACATTTAAAATTTTTAATTTTTTTAAAATGTTTTATCAGATAGGCAATAATTCATCTACGGTGGATTGCAGACCCCTCGAGGTAAGTACATAATATGTGTATAATTTTAAAATCTAAGATTTCAAAGGTCTTCCGAGAAAAGTTTTGCACAAGCAGTTCGCATGTATAAGACTAAACGAGCGCCACGGCACGGCTACGGTAAGATAAAATTTGTAAATTAGTAATGCCACCTACAAAAAAATATTAATTCCAACTAATTTCTATTACTATTATTATTATTATTATTTGTAACCAATGGCAACCATTAATATAAACGTTCCTTCGTGAATCTCAAAATCCGTGTTCTTTATTTTAATTCATATAGGAGGATGTCGCAACCGCATGTGTTGTCTCCGTCTTATTCAAGTTTAAACTATCGAAATGTTTGTCTAGTAGTTCCAATTTTTTGTCGCAAGATTTATTAGAGTAAATTGACTTACCACGAAATTTAAATGTAAGAACATTATCTGTGTTGTTTTGTTGTGTTTTTTACGATATTTTAATTTTTAAGTGAATAATAAACATTTTTAAATACTAATATTTTACATACTCATTGTTAACTTAAAAATTAAAATATCTTAAAAAACGTTCGAGAGAAGACAAATTATATTCATACACCTAAGATTGTAACAGATAAATTTATTCTAATATTTCACTATTCAAGTTAACAATATAAAATCGAAACTGCTGGTCTAACTAATTATACATTTGTAAGACGGATACAACTTATGCCGGAATGAGTGTACGACGTCTCATTAATAACTAATTAATTATTAACTGTATGCTTAAAACCTGCTCCGAGATGTCCTCTCTAATTTAACAAAAACTGCATGACGACTGAATAAGTAGTTTCGAAATTCACCTGTAACAAAGATTTAAATTTTCACATTAATGTATATAAATATTATAATAGCTGTAAAGCTTGACTTTTCCCGGGTAAAAACTTAGACAATGCGATCCTGCCGCTATATCTTTGTATGCATTTTTCTAATTTTATTTTATTGGATAGGTGGCGCCACCGATTTATTCCTATTTTAATATAATATAATATCATGGACAGGTGGGGCTGGATCCAAAAAACTATGCTTAAAACCATCTCTGTGATATACGTTATCTAGTATCTACAGTGCCGAGTATTGATAAAGTTATTTTTTTTAAAACGGTCCTGTAGTATTTGAGTTCATAGAGGATCAATAAACTAACAAACATTAGTTTTTACTTTTTGTACTTACTGATAATAGGTCAAATTAATTTTCATGTTAGGTATACTTATGAATTTTAAGACATATTTTATTAGGAATGTCCGAATGTTCTATAAGAATATAATAAATTATTTTTAAAACCCATACATAGCAATTTATTTAAAGAGTGTTTTTCAATATTATTATATTATAACTAGTTATATTTAGTTTATATCTTATTTCGGATCTATATTTTATATGAAGTTTACAATTTATACATATCTCAAACACATCATTAACACAAAAAATATTAATTCGTTATTGTAAGTATAGAAAGATTAAATTATTTAAATAATGTTGTTTTGATCATACCAAAAAATTACAAAAACTGAGCTACGCGCTGTTATAGTATAAGCTACGAATTAGCTAAGTATGTCACTACATGATTGTATACTTAAGAGTTGTTTCCATTTAAAATGTGAAAAATTCGAGAAAAAGTAATGGAGTGAGACGAGGTGGGTATAAAGATAATCTGTTTGTTAAAACCACTCCGGTCTTAAGAAATATTAATGCATAGTGGAGCGATCAGTTCACTTAATTATGGTAAAATGGATTTTCTACAGTTATTAAATGGATGCAATTTCGCAATACTAACGTCCATAAATTGTCAAGTGATTGGGCGACCTGCTGGTTTGACACTGATGACTCAGAGCGTCTCACTGATTGCAATGTACCAGTTCGGTTGTATGCATACACTGAACACGCTAGTGTCAACTTCTAAGAGTCGGAAGATGCAGAGGTCTGACACCTCACTGTGACGTGCGGCCATGCGGGTAACTGGCCTTCTCGCGACCGACCACGATCGGTAAAGAGCAATACCGTTATTATCTCGGACCGAAACGCCCGAGTGTTTGTTTACCCATAAGATGTGTTGTTAAAATTCAATAAACAATCATAACCAAATCAAAACCAACCTAGAAATGTAAAAAATGTTAGTGTGAACTGTAAAACTGAAAGAAAATACATATTTAGGTACTGGTGATATCTGTTGGTGGATATTTCTATTAATAATTGATTAGTTTTTGAATTTTGAAGGCAGGAGAATTTTCGATCAAATTTCAAAAGTAAGCCAGAATGTTTATTTTATTATCTGTTACCAATGGCATCGTTTTAACACAAATATAGATAAACAAAAAAAATCTTAAGTGTTGCAATAGTACACACGGATGGAGTGCGACTTCTTTACACAGAGGGCATGAAAAAAAAGCTTCATTACGGTAAAATATGAAGTTCGTAATGGAAAAATAAAAAAATAAAATTTTAGTTTGAAATTAGTTTATTATTATTATACAAAGATAAGACAAATGTATTATTATTTATAACCATAGAAACCTTAGGGTACAAAAAGACGACCGGACTTTGCGTCTGTCGTCTGTTTTTTTTACATACAAAGTTGGATTGTGGTAAATAGACACTGACATTTTTCGCCGGTCAATCAGTTCACCCAGTTTGTCGGCTCAGGAGTAACACGGCTACTGGCCGGCAAAATCCGATCGTCTGATTGGACCTTTAGTGTCGAGTAAGTCACGCCCTTGACGCTTTTTGGACGCAACGGCTAAGCCCATGAATCCAACTTACGCTACCATGCCTAAAGAAGTTATTCACTTCAATAATATTAACAAATAATTTAAATCAAATAAGTATTAACAAAATAATGAAGAAAACATTTCATTAGGTTTTCAATTTTTTGTCATCATAATAACCGTTCCGCTTTAGTGCAAATCATACTTGGTCATTTATTTCCAATTATGCATTAATTTCAAATCACGTCATAACTCATCAGTCATTACAATAATTGAATTATACGTTGGTGTAGAGGTCAATACAGGTTCGTTGCACTGTCTATTTTTTAACTCTAAAATATTACAACTAACAATAATATATTATAATAGATAATATTTAATTATAATTAACAGGAATAATTTAATAATATTTTTTCTAAACTATTCTTATACATTTGAGAAGTTAAGTGTCCACTAAGCAGGAATTATCCACTCATGCAATGTCGGTTCTATTTTTGATTTCTATAATACTCGGAGTTACTGTGAAATTATTGTACACTAGTGATGGCTGCAAAGAAGACCCGAAAAACTGCAGTAAGAAGATAATGTATGCCATCAGCAACCCAAAACCCTATGAAAAAAAAAAACAGTCAAATGTAGTGTATAATATAGTGTAATGGTATAATATATTATATAGGTATCATATTTACTCTATGTACTTAATTTTTGCATATTTATAGATATATTGATATAGTAATAATATGTATACAGTTTTAAATTCTAGAATTTGAACTAATATAACCGAATAATAATCATGTTTGTATAAAGATATAAGTGATCATTTATCAAGAAAATTTTATTCGTTTATAATATTTAGTTACTTACTGCATAGAAGAAAGCTATATTAATATTCATCATTCCGTATATTTGGAATTTTGAACTTATTGCGTCTAATTGATTTTGAAATAGAATGATCTGTAAAGCATTTATGGTAAATATTATTGTGAGTATTGCGTATCAATGTAAATTCTGAATTAATCAGATTTAAAAGCAATGTCAAATATTTATTGGTACTACTGTATAAGTTATACTATTGTAAAATGATAATATTATACATTTATAACTGTAAATTATTGTTTTTATAAATGATAATAACTATAACGCTCACAAAATTAACAATATATTTTTGAAAATCTCCTATTATAAACAAAAAACCTCAATAAAAATTGTTTGTATAATTATTTGACTATTCAATTTTAAAAAAAGTGTCCGTTGATAAAAAATTAAAAAACCATATAATATTATAAAAAATATAATTGATTATAATCGAATAATTTTATGATTAATGTGGATGACTTAAATAATATATTATTAATGCTGTCTGTTGATAATGATAATAATATAATAATATTTTAACAAATAACATTTTTGTAATTATTTCATATAACTTTTTTGCAGGTAGTCAACGATAAAATATTATATTCAATATTTGTGTTAAAATGTATTTAGAAAGTAAAACTTTAAAATAGAGGTAATTAATTTATAATATATACAATTTTATATAACGTAAAAATCTGTAATTGCGTTAAACTTATTTAACTTTTATTAAACTTAAAAAAATTATTATTTAATTATTTTGCTTTAAAAACATAAAAGTGAATACCTCGGGCATTAATCTCCTGCTAGTGACTGGATTTAATGTTAATGTAAGCCAACTCAATGAAATCCGTATAGGTATAATCTGTATAATATTTAAAAAAAAATCATATTTATTAATCACCGATAATCATTTAAATATTTAAAAAAATTAATAATGTAAATGTAAACTAAAATTCTAACGTAATTAGGTTATACTGAGTGTCTGCAATATATCAACCCGTCAGAGATTTAGAATATTAAATACCTATGTAGGTATAAATGTATAATGCTATATTATTTTCAATATTAAACTAACACGGAATTCACAAAAACTATAACAATTTAACGACACCGCAGCTAATATTGACCTAATTATTGAAAATCTAGTAAGCACTACTATTTAATAAATAATTTTAATAATGGTTTTTAAATAATAATACTATAGCTTAATGTTTTGCCGTTTCCATTCCCTTTTTCACTAGCGTTTATACAGAGAAATTTCAAGTGTTGTAATATCCCAACGTAAGTCATTGATAAAATACATTTAATCAATGCTATGATTTAATTATTTATTTCTTAGAGTGAAATATAGATGTAGTCATCTAGTTATATTTATGTATCGTTAATCACTGTTAAAAATATTTTAAGCGAACTTTATGATTAGTAGAATATTTCAATATTATATATCGATAGGTACTTTCAAACATTTTAAAAAATGACGAAAAATTGTAAACAAAGCTGTAAAATGCATGCATTTATGTTCCAGATTTACCAATATTTATATTCAGTAATTATGTTAAAATGTGACCACTATTTGTAACGAAAAAAAGAAAAATACCTAGATACCTAAGTCAATTTACTATAAGAACCATAAGTAGGTATTTACTATTTATTTATACAACTGATTGATGTACTGAACATACACCCACTTTTTAAGGAAATTTCTGTGTTTTATTCCTTGAAAAATTGCATTTTCGAACTAAGAGGACTTTTTTTGCAATACTTGTTCGTTCATATTGCTACCACCATATTTAAACGTTAAATTAAATTCTCAAATTTCACTCATCTATATAGTCAATATAGTATGACCATGTTAAACAATAGAACATATTATTTTTATCAAGGTATGCCGTGTGCGCTATTATATGCAGGTTAGATAGGTTATATACATCATGGACCTCACCATTTTTGTGATATAATACTCGCACGAGTGCATGTACCACAACCGGACGATTCGCATGCCCCAATAGCCCGAGTACAGGACGGTGTTCGCGTAAGTGATCGTCGTACGTTTGTCCCACATGACGTAAGTCAAGTGGTACGTCACCTCAGACGTGTAGAACACTATGCGGCACACACTGTCGATCATGTTCACCAGCAGCGGCAGCTGGAACGCGCGGTTGACGCGTGAAAACGTCTCCGTCGCCCTCATGTGCGCGCACCTCAGGTGCCGGATGTCCGACGCGCCAAACGCCGGTATTCCCAAGTGGGCCGGATGTCCGGCCGCGGGACTCGCCCAACATCTCCACCGCGGGTGCTCGGCCTTGCGCACCAGGTCCTGTACGTCCTCGTGGATCCGCTTCAGCCGGACGTACAACGTCAGGCAAGTGACGTAGAAAAACTGTTCGACCACGATGCCATCGATGTTGGATAGGAACGAGAACAGGCAGATGAAGTACTGGTGATTGAACCTGCAGCAGTCGAGAAAAAAAGCTTCAGAACGAAATGCATTTCGAGTTTTAAAATCAAAATTTAGCATGGTCTTAGGTATTGTTCGTCTGCCTCACAACCGAAAACATATCTATGATTCCTTAATTCCCCTTACTGCAGAGGAAATATATCTAGAGACATACTACTTTTAATATTAAATACGAAGGACTTTACTCGAATATTGCCGTACTGTGCTGACAACCTGTACAAACTGTATTTGGACTAAACAAAACGACAGGTATTGCAATGCATATAAATCTTGTAGTCCTTATGTCAACATATAATAACCATACGTCGTGGAATCGATGCCTACCTGGACGTGGACAGCACGATGTAAATGCCAAACTCGTAGGCGACGAACGCGACTATGGTGAAAGCCTTGATCGGTGGCCAGAAGCGGCCGTCACCGCGGTGGACGCGTGGCCGGAGCAGACACTCGCCGACCAGCGCCACGACCGACGGCTGCGACATGTGCACCTGACACAGGGCGGCCGTCGCGGACGTGGTGAACGTCATGTACACGTACAGCTCGTAGACTTTTACCGGCGACGTGGTGGCCAGCTTCTTGTCCAGCGCCTGCCGGTTCCGGTTGTCTGCAGCAGCGCCGCCCGGGTGCATCCGGAATATCCCGGAAACGACGGTCGCGGCGGCCGACCAGAAGAGCAACAAGTGCACGGCCTTCAGGGCAGCGCCAAACCAGTGCAGGCGAAACCTGTGTGGCGCCGACCGTGACACAGTGTAGGGGAACACGCCCAGCGCGTACCCGAACGCCCACAGCGGCCCGTAAAGAGGTGCTGAGGTAGTCATCGCGTGACGATAATCCAGGACGATGATGACGCGGTCCTGCAATGCATCACCACGGTTATTGTTATCATAGAGCGTGGGTTTTGATGTTCCGAAAAAAGAAACAAGACAAATGACTAGTGTTTATAATCAACGCTCATAGTTATATCCATGTGCGAGACCAATGGCATCAGGCTAACAACAAAACACATCCAAACCGAGTGACAAAAGTTCTATCGCGACCTACTCAACCTTGATATTTGACTCATCCCTCGCACCAAATCCAGATCAAAACTATTATTTAATCTTTAAGTTTGTAAAATCAAATCGGTTACCTCATTAGCACGGCAAATACGATGTAACTAATGTGTGGAGGTTGAAAGAAGTTGAGAGTTACATTATTGTACCTGGATATTTGAAACTGTGGGTTACGTTTATTGTACATTATTTGTGTTTTGTGTATTTCAGAACAATGGTGGATTTCAGTGAGGGTAACATTCATTGACTGGAACCGTTTACAATATTATACAGTGCGAAACGTTGTGAATCGCATTACTTGACCATATTATTATGTTGATGTTATGGGTAACAATATTTTCAAATGAAATTAACTTGAATTCACCATTGAAAAAAGGTACAATTATTTGTAACAGAAAGTTTTTTTCATAACGTGTTTTATCACGATCAGTTACAACTTGATTTCGATAAAGTTAAATATTACATCACTTAGACTTCCAACCATAGCTTTGTACTTAAAATAGTAATAGTGAAAAATCAATATATGCATATAATTTGTGTTATAGATATTATATTATATTACTTGTGCTACCAAAACCAAACGAGTGACTTGTTCGGAGACCGTCGATGGCGTTCCAAAGTTAGGTGAACGAAATTGATTTCACCTATTTTTATGTTCTGATTGCGTCCTATTGTAAAATAAAAAAACATTAAATTATACATTATTTAAAATATTATGAAGGCCTGCAGTCTATACATTATATCACATTGATATGAGTATATTTAAATTAGTTTAATCGACAATTGTAGTAACTGTACATAATAGTTTATCATAATTATTATATTGTATATAGGAACAACCAGTCTGAAATAGAATTATACACTTAAAGAATATATCTGTGTATGTGTTGTTAAAAAAAAATAGTAAAAAAAAACCCATTATATTCAGTATTTAAATATAATGGTTATTATACTTGGTCATGGTGCTTATTTATTTTTATAAACGAATAGGTTTTAAGTGTCATAAAAGGGTAAAGAGGAAACAATTAACATTTTTTTACTTGCTCATATTTTATTCATCGATAAATTGTTGTATTTTTAAATCGATAACTGTGCGTTTTAAAGTTGTTTAGTTCTGACTTGTCAGAAATTAAATATTTTTAATTTACTTGATTTAGGGACCCAGTGGAAACACTGGTAGGTATAAGAGATCGAAAATATGAGACACAATATGATAACGCCTGGCTTGCCACACCCGTCGACTTGAATAACATCAGTTCTGCAGTGGTGAAATTTCCAACACGACGTGAAAATTAGAAAACGTTTATATAAAATCGTACAACCTCGTCACATCTCTGGTGAAAGAATAAATATAACGCGTGATCTACCGCAAAGGCTTTCACCGCTATGTATCATGGTGAAGGTGGGCGAATTCTTTTGTGCCCTTTTTACTATACACTACGTGATGATAATACAATGAAATATTTTATAGTTTACCACGCACAAACTCGCTCAAATAAGACGCGTTACATATACTATAAAATTATCGGCCTGTGAGATCGACACACGGCACGACGGTGATCGTCGAACTGGACAATATTATATCGGTTGTTTAGTTTTGAAGACGTTTTCGAACGTGATATCGTATAATAATGACTTGAATCCATCATGACATTTTAGAATGCGATCGTAATAATATATAATATTGTCATCGCCGATTTCGGGTTGTGGGTGTATTGTTATGCGTTGCGATGGGTTATTTCATTATTGTACATTAGTAATTGTATACTACGCTACCTTATGCATATCCGTAATGGTTTAGAAGCTATTTGGACTGATAATTATACGCTCAGTGATCAACGATGTCTGCCGTTGTCCAACATTTTATACACATTCGAACAGAAAAAAAAAAAACAATCATGTCACGCCATTGTAAAATGGGTATTATCATTTTAAATGTACCCTCCGAAACGCATTGTTTTTTAATTATCACGTGTCGACGTGTTTGAAGACGATACTGCCTAGTGACCACTAGTTACTTTTTTTTTATCATACCATAAGACGTAAGAGCATTAATAATGGTTTCATGGTTTTACATCAAATCACTATTACAATTCTATCTATATAATTATTTGTGCACAATAGTATAAATTTAATATACCTAGTCCTTTTAAAATGCACAGTGGACTTATTTTGGTCGCAACGATACGTTTTCGCATTGTCATTGTTTACGCCCAGACATTCCTTACTCGTTTACACTAACATATGAAAACGTTTCAAATTTAAACAAAAAGTTCAATAGATACCAAAAAAAAGGAAAAATTATTTTTTTGTACCTGAAGTAGGTATGCAGTACATGCAATACAAAATATATAATATCCGTCGTAGTACATAATTCGCTGTTATTGATGGTAGTACAATGCACACATTTCAATGCAACATTATAGGTAATATGGTGTTATGCATAAATTATAATATTAAATAGGTACAGAACATCAGAACGCGTCAACAATAATATTATGCATTAAATAAGTTTGAAAATGCTTTTAAACATAAACTGATGAATAAAAATTGCGAACATGACAATAATTGACACAACCCTATACTGCGTTTTTTTTACATTTTAATATTTAATTGTGTCAACTGTCAAATGATATATTATGTGATATAAGACGTCATACTGTAAACGTTTTTAAATCGTTGAATAAATAAAATACACATAGAAAAGAAAGTAAGTGTTATATGTCATAATATTGCGTCTAGTTGAAAGAAACTCTATTAACTATTGATACAATAGATATTACAATCATTCTATCGTCTGTCGTCGTCAATAACATTTTACAATTTGAGAATACTTAAAAATTATTTTTCAAGCATTCTCAAAATTATAAAATATACCTTGTAAAAATACGATCGATTTTTTTGCATTGAATAATTTAATATTTGCAATACCATCTAGTCACGTTAGGCTTAGGATACAATATATTATAACAGTTTAATCCTTGGAATTAGGACTTTTCGTGGTTTCTGTGGAAATTTCAATGTGCTCGCTAAAACACGGAAACACTACTCAATATAGATTATAAATAAGACACCGTCTGGTATATTATAATATTATGTGGATTATAATTTATTATGAACAATATTTAATGATAAGTTTATTGTTTCAAACTTTTTCACACGTCCCATAAAAAGAGTAAACTCTATATTAAATATAACACGTGTAATGCTGCGATATACAGCAACAGCATATTGCATGCCTTATTTTAAGACTGCTGTACGTACTTTTTGATAATTTCCCATCTCGTAATTTATTAATTCTATTAAGAAAACCTTTTAACTTACTATTATACCATTATACTCTTTGGGGGTCGATACAATGTAGTTACCTCATAATAGTTTATTACATGATAAATTATGTAAATAGTAGGTAATTGCATTAAATAATAATAAATTACATACTAAATGAATGTGCATTTGATTTTGATCAAAATAAATTTGTAAAATATAATAGACATTATAAGATTACAATTTTTTTTAAAAATTATTATTCTTAATTTTTTTCTCACTATTATAATATATCCATTAGTAAATGTTATTTTCAGTTGAATATTTTAATGATGTATACCAACGATGTACTTTATTATTTATTCGTAATTATGTTACAACAGAAAATATACGCTAATTATGTTATGAAACATTCATCAATTTGATCTTTGATGATTGTATTTTTTCATTTATTTTTCCTACTCGACGGAACTCAAAGTCAATAGCTAAGACTGTGTGATGAAACATTTTTCAGCTAAGATACTTTTTTATCAGGCTAGAGTATTTCTTTTTGAGTGAGTTATATAGTTAACTTATTATTTATGGCTTAGATAAAGTTCATAGTAAAAACTTAAAATGTGTAGGTAATAGGTATTTATATTATAGATGTGGGGACAATTTTTGCAAATATTTTATTTGAATCACATACCTTCGTGGCCGGTACTGGTATAAATTGTACTTACTTTTTTGAAAGACATCATATTGTTGTTTGAATGGCTATGTATGTATTATAATATATTACTTTTGAATTCAGAATGAAGCTACGAAAATGTTGGTAATATATTATTATATACTATGATACTACAATGATACGTTTTATTTTTTTCTGGTAGTAAAATATCAGAAAATGTTTTATGCAGCACATAAATTCATTGGAAATTGAACACAACTAGTACAATCTATAAAGGTCATGCTAAGAATTTCTCAGTAGTTCGTTTGAGCGTCTCGAGAATGTCAAAGTGAAGATAAAATATATATATCAGCGAAGGACGTTTTTTAAAAAATCTTTACTATTTTTTGATAAATCAAGCTCTACTCGAATTCGTTTTCAAATAGAACGATTTGTCATAGCTATGAAATATTAGTAGACAGCTTCCTTAATTGGCACACCTAACTATGGTATTAATTTTATTTCCATAGTTTTTGAGATATGCATGTATATCATACAATATTTAATTTAATGAATAAGAATATATTTTTGGATAAAATCAACAGCAGTTATTATAAATATTTAATTATAATATACGTAATAACTCACAAAGCACATATTCTTCTTAATATAATAATGCACTGTAAATAATAAACCATATATGTATTACATAAAACAATGTTTTCTACTGAATCAAAACCAAATAACTTTTACCATTTTTAATTCATAAATATGCTTCAAATCATTATAAAATAACATAACACTCGTATATTTTTCATTCCCTTCTTATTTATTTTGATATTTGCTAGGAAAGTTGGTAGTAGTTGTTTAATAGGTATAGTTTCAGAAGGAAGGTACCAGTTATAGTTAAATAGCTTAACATATATTGCATTTTTAATGATATTAATGAGTATTTATAACTAAATATATAATAATATATCTGGTATCTATAATACACATTAACATGTAAAAACTATTTTAGTAACAAATATAACAAATATTTACCAATTTATAGATACTTATAGAGATTAAGTTATTATAATTATTTATTTATTTTAACTTGGTAAACTTATACATGATAAATAATTAAACTTTTAATATACGATTAATTATAAGTTTGCAAATTGATATACTTGTATTAAGAACGACCTACTCTTTGTAAGTTTGTAATGTGAGTAATGAGTCTCCGAGTCTAACTACAATAGTTAATAAATAGAATTGCACATTTATTTTCTACCGGTACCTACTTAACTGTTAACAATAATAGTAATAATGATAAATTAATTAAACTATCCTTTATATTTTTTTTTTTTTATCATTATTTAAAATTTAGCATTATTAAGTAGTTAAATAAATAACTGTGTCCTTCTATGTATACATGTAATGTTTGTCCATTAAAGCTGTTTTTGGTTTAGTTAATCTAGAGTTGCCATTTTTCCCTCTCTTGTCGTGTACCTATTAAAATATATTTGAACATTCTTCGTGAGTACAGTTTGATAAATAATAATAATGCATCATAGTAAATTACACATTGTTTCGTTGTGCGTGAAATAAATGTGCTGTATGAAACGCATGATTAAATTCGATTTAATCTTAATGCAAGTGAATCTTTATGTAATTCCGTAAAAGTTTGGTTTTTAGACGTATAATTACCGCAGCTCAATAATAATAATTATTTTTCAGTGTTTGTTTCATTGCTTGTGGAAATGGATGCCATTGAAATCTGATTAAATGCAAAAAATTGAAGCAAAAGCGCTAAATACGCCAAAGTAGTACAAAATCCCTGCAGAATAAATGTGATGGTAACAATATGTATAATGTATTTTTAAGTTATCGATAAACATCAACCATCGAAAACGTATATGTACTTACAGCATAAAATAACGTCATATTGATGTTTAAAACGCCAAATAATTCAAACTTGGACTTGATGGTATCAAGTTGATGTTGAAATAGAATTATCTGAAATTATATTTTTAATTATAAACATTACTTGTCGACATCATAAAAATAAAGATACAATCAAAGTCAATGACAACAATTTATGCGAGTTTGTTAAATCTATAATTTAATTGAATTTGTTCCGTCCTCACTTCTATAATTTGTTCACTTATTGTAAATTGTATACAGTAATACACGCATACCTTTACTCAAAGTAAGTTGGTTCTCCTAAACGCCGTTGGCTGATCTGCAAACATAATTATTAAAGTTTTTCAAGAACCTCTAATTATTATCACCGTATCAGTGCCGTCTGACAATATTGAATAGAAAACTTTTTGTTCTCCCCTCGAGTTCAATTAATACACATACCCACAACTACCTATATATTGTGTTTAAGCTGCTCACCAACTCTTCTCAGTTTTATATTAAACCTATTTTTTTTCTAATTAATTTTAACTTATTATGGGGTACACAATATTCAAACAAACTATTTTGCGTCCATCTAATTTAAAAATATGATTTTAGTAGGTACTTAGTTTCGTATTCAATTTGCTCACGGACCTTTTTACAAAACTGACTTATAAACAAACTCTAATATAATATAGATACTATCATAATTTTGTAAGACATACGTTTTTATTTTACCCGACGTTTTAATGTTTTTTCTTTACCTCGGGCATCAGTCTTCGGCTTGTAACGGGATTCAGAATCAACGAAAGAAAGCTGAGTGACAAACGTATTGGTAAAATCTAAACAAAGCAAGAATAAAAAAAACATATTAATTGTATGCAAAATCAAATACCATAATATTATGTTAATTACATATTATACCGAAATAATATAACAGTAATCATATGCTTACCTATTGTTAAAAATCACAACTTATGATACACCTACCTACCTACCTAACCTATCGTAGCTCGTTTAATATAAAAGATAAGTAGTGAACAAACATAATAAGACAGGATTATAATATATTATAATAATATATATTATTATATTATATTAATGTTTTATTGTTTACTATATTGTAATAAGTCTATCAAATTATGTTACTGTTGAAGTATTTACCGTTCAATAATGTGAGACAGCCGTCAAATAAATAATTCAAATTTATAATGAAAAATATCAAACAAGCTTCTACCAATTTCATGAAATAATTTTTAATATAAAAATATAACAACAATTTAAATTTAAAAACCACAAAACTTTATTTTTAAGTATGATGCTACAAATACTGAAATATGTGTAGAAATGGGATGGTAAATTTCAGAATATACTGTGTGACCCATTTAGGACGCTCATTAGTTCATAAAACGCTGAAGTTTTCGGAAATATTTCATTTACCTGCATAATTTTAATTAGTTGGGAAACAACATTTTTGTAAAAAAAAAAAATCATATTTCTTACTATTTTTATCACTATCATATATCTATAATTTTTAAGTTTCTTACTCGTATAATGAACATCACACGTTTTGATTTAATATTCCAAAGCAGAATGATACTCGGAGTATTTTGGTTCGTAAAAACAAAATTTCGGACAAATAGTTTATTACATGGGCTCAATAAATTTGTGTGTTCTCCAAAAAAAAAAAAATGTTAGTGAAATGCAGAAGACGTTTTTTACCGCGGTACGCAACTAGCAACCAGTAACCACTCCATCCCAAACACACCTTTTTGGTTACGTAATGTTCGCACAGGTAGAGGTACCAGAGCCGAATGATCCGAATGACGCAGTAACCCGACCACATGGCGGTGTTAGCGTAGTTTACGTGCTTCTTCTTCTCCCAAATGACGATGGTCACGTCGAACGCGATGCCATACATGTAGACGATGATGCGGAACACGCAGTCGAACATGCACAGCGACAGCGGCAACTGGAACAGGCGGTTGATGCGAGCGAACAGTTCCATGCAGGCGCGGTGCACGGCCCGCAGGTCGCGTATATCGGACGCGCTGAACGCGGGTATCCCCATCCGACCGGCCACCGGTCGGCCGCGGCCACCGTCCGCGGCCACGGACGCCCAGCATCTCCACCGCGGGTGTTCGGCCTTGTGCACCAGCGTCTTGATGTCGTCGTGCAGCGCACGGAGCCGAAGGTACAGCGACACACACATCAGGTAGAAGAACTGCTCGACGACGACGCACGTGATGTTCGACAGTGGCGGGAACAGGCAGATCAGTTTAGCCAAAGGGAACGTGAACCTGCAGCCCCATCGCAAACAGATAATACGATAATATCACAGTAACGACATTATAGTAGTTCGTACATATCGACCTATATGATAACAAGGGCAGAGGACTTGCGGCCATAAAAGTCACCAAATGATATGCATTTAAATACCCAAAATATGTGTTTATAAAAATGTATATATCTAAAGTACGAGTTTTAAGAATAAAACCAAGAATATTTTGAATTCGTTTTTTGCGTTTTATTTAACTAAATTTATTATTTTGAATTAGTTTAATTCGTTATAAATGTTACAACTTTAAGTATTAATTTTGTATAATTAACAGGCTTTTAGGAAAAACGTGAGCTGGGGCCAGGCAAAACCATACTATACGACAATAAATTACTAGTATTATTTAAAATAAAAATATTAGTGGAGAATAAATTGATAAAATTGTTAATGAAGTTAAGATTATAGGTTCCAAAGAGTATAAAATCGAAGAAATACGTCTTTATGTGCAAAATAAAATTTAAAAACTAGCTTTCATAACCAAAATATGGTTCTACATTGGCAATCCGCGTCATCCTTACTGCAAGGGGCTCGATGGCAGCATATCTGCGCTGTATGTTACATCGTTACCTGCATATTGGAACCTAAAACGGCAATGATTAAGTGAAAAAAAATAGATATGGAATTAGAAATTAATGCAACAGAAGAGACATGAAAATTCTGTTTTACTCAAGAGGAACAATTTTTAAGAAGATCTAAATTTTCTTTTTACTTTTCAATTTTCAGCTATAGGGAAGACAACATTGCAAAGAAATAAGAACGGAAGAATAATCACACAGCGACCAATTTTGAATACACAACCAAAAAATACCCAACATACGTTTACGTTGTACATGTTCTAAAAGATAAATTTAATTAACTTCAAGTGGATCACATAATACAGATGGATATCCGGATACCTGCTCCAAGACAGATTCATATTCGGATACTTCAAGAAAATCGTTCACTGTACAAATATTAAAGTCAATTAGGCAATCGATTAAGTGATCGGCACATTAGATTTAATCTGAGCACAAACACGTTTAATGGAAAGGCGTCAGCGCCTTAAAACAAGATGATATGGGTACCTAGGTACATAATATGAATATAATATTCACATACTGTTTTATATTGACATAGTGACGTAATGGATCCAACCCTCGCGCAGTAGTCAGAATATGCAAATGGATATCAGCACATCCCACTAATTTTTTAGATCAGTTTTTTAAGTGATGCATTCCTCGGTGAAAAAATTTAATATTAAACTATATAATAGTGTGCGTTAATGAAGCGTTCGTAAAAACTGCTATGTTTTTAAATTAAAAGAGCTATTTTTTGTACAAAAAATATATGGCCGTAACCCATAAGTAGTTTTTTTTTAACGAAGGAGCTCTTCTATGTTTATATAAAAGTGCTATGAATATATTTACGCAATTTTAATATTCATCTACATCCCACTTGTTTCAAACCATGTCGACCACTAATTACATGAATATACATTAAGTGAATAGTATTACAATATACATAGGTACACTGTACTTGATATAATAATGTGTATGATTGTATGAACTTATTAGTTTTTATTCAATTACTTTACTACTTATAAATAAGAACTTGCGACATTATCCTTCCTTGTTATTATTCCAATAATTTGTTATTTTTAAAGTTTTTTATTCTATAGTTATATACTTATACATTTTGAACATTTCAAATATTTCAAATTTAAATATTTCTCTTTTAACGCTGATACCTGAACAGCACGAATTATTAATATTATTATATTATAATCCTATATATTAAAAAATAAATCGATTGTTAATACATGTAATTTAAGTACCTATTTAACACAAGTTTAACAATAATAATTAATAATTATTCATGAAATAGATTCAAAATGTAAAAATGTAAAAGTGTAAAAATTATTAATTAAGACGTCTAGAAATAAAAATCCTGTGTTCACGGAGCTATTTAAATTTAAATATCAGTAAAAATATTACCTCATTTTAATTGTTTCATACTTATTTGTTATCGTTACTCTATATACAATTGAATGATATAATATAGCCTATAGTCTATAATAGGTTAGAAAAACGTTTTCGGGTCATGTAGCACTTTGTAATCATAGGTTAAAAAAAAATGAATGTGCCAGTAATATAAATGTTCATATAGGTACCTAAAAGCAATTTTTCACAGAGTCATGGGAATAAAAATTATCACTGGACTTGTTTTCAATTTGAATATAATATCAGTTGTATATTTTGTTTCTCTTGTAGTCTTAACTGTTCTAATGAAACACAAACTGAAATATCTTTATTCATCTATGTATAATTCCTATGCTTTGATTTGAAATGATTCTTTGTTTAAAATAAACTTTCACAAATTGTGTATGTTGACACGAATATTGAATTTATGTGAAATGAGCCAATTGTCTTCAAATAAAAAAGTAGTATGTCTGCAATCAGAGAGTTCCACAGTTATTATAATTGATAACTTTATTTTTTAGAAATAATTTTGTTAACTTTTTTCTTTCCACTAAACGCGAGATTAAACAATGGAATAAAAAAAAATTTAGAGGGTAGTAAAAATGTTGCCATCTGTGGTTCCTAGGTAGCCATATACATATGATAATAAGATTCTTGTGCAATCGAGTGTTATTTTTTAGAGGTCTAGAAACAAATATCAGAAATATCACATAATACCATCTCTCAAATATTAATTGTCCACAAGAAACAATTATGTATTAGCCACTATAAACGTACAGCGCGTCGTTGTTCGAGGTACAGAGCTGTGTAGAATCCTTAAAAGAAATCAGGATTTATTTTTGACAGTATATATCTACAGTACTCACAATTCACATAATATTATAATTGTCTATATAATATATTATTTAATGTTAAACTCGGCCACAGTACATTGTAATAATATAAATACATATAGGTTTCTTGGTTTGTCCCGGTGACGACGCTTTCAACATTATCATAATATAGTATAGTAGAATATACCATCTACGATAATATTGCATGCACAAGTGCTCAATACTACAATAAATTGTACCCTATTAGAAGTGAGAAATTTGTGTTACTACCAACAACATAACATAATAATGGGTACTTGTTGTACCGACGTTCAGTGTAGTTTAATAATTTTTACAGTTTAATCGGAAATTATACATAACATTATGTCATGAGCACGTGTCTAATCTTTCAGGTGCGTTACCTGACGCCATTGATCTACGTATAGTGTATACCTAAATTAATAATAATAATAATTTAAAATTTGGCCTGGTATGGGGCGCGGTGTTTGGCCTCAGTCACATACGTGTTCTGAGACTAAGCATCAGCCGGTGTCACTAGTTCCCGGAAGGATGACCTGCACAAGGGTTTTAGTGAAAAATCCTCGCCACATATACGAGTACACGTGTTCTAACCAATATTACCCGTTTGGATATTTTGAGAAATTTAATTTACCGGGAAAGAAATTTTAATTGCCAAGAGAACATTGAGTCTTTGATGACCAAAATGTTTATTACTCGCCTATTTTAAATGATAGTATTTACCGATATAATATGATAGCTGACATGTTTTTTTCTGAAAATACACAGGTTTTCTGAATGGCGTTTAGTGTTTACTGTTTAGGTTAAATAGGAATTTCGTGTTTTCATGATATTTCTTATACTTCTTGTATGGACTTTGTTGCATCAGCTTAAAATTTATAAAAATTAGAAAATTATCCATGAATAACCGTAAATCCGCATTTTATCATTACCAATTATCATTCATATAAGTTTGAACTAATCTTTGAGCAGAATTTTTTTTTTGGTTATTGTAATAAATATACTAACACTCTCATTATAGAATAGTTTGTAGATACGTACCAAACCTAAACTACTTAACGCGTAGTGATGGTTTATTAGCTTAACCAATGACATCCATAAAATATACATTTGGTAATTGTTTTTTTAACTGCAATTAAATGTTTTTAAATTTTTTATGCTTATAAAAATATTTGGATATATTTGGTAGTGTTGATATTATTTATTAAGTAACTTAAAACATATCAGTAATTAATGTTTAATTACATTTTTAAATCTTAAGTATAAAAAAAGAAATTTCGTTAACTATATGCGCAAATAGTATACTTTTTCAACATTTTCTTGATTTTGACGAATATTACGAAATTATGAACTCAAGGTTACATAATTATATAATATAAGAGATGTGGGTTCAATGCACTAAAATATAAAAATACAAGCACTATAAATATACTTATTTTAAATTCAGAAATAAATTCCCCAATGTTCAAATAAACATAAGATTCACCAAAGCCCCCGATTGGTAATATTGGCTATTATTATAATAGTAGCCGGTGTTATCAAGAATTTAAGAAGGTGTCATCGAACTATGTGTTTTCTCTTATCAATCACACACGACATAGAAAATTTGCTTTCATAAAATCCAAACTCCTTGTGTTGTTATCTGTCAGGTTTAATATTAGAGTGAATTGAGTAATATTGACCTATGTCCTATTACCTATCAAACTAATAATCAAGTTGCAACATTTTACATACTTACTATAAATCGTATGAAGATTTAAATAAATGTAAAAAAAGCCAAAGTAAGTGTAGCACAGATAACGTTCTCAAATTTAAGTTTGAAATCAGATAAATCCACGCAATAAACTAAAGCTATAACTGCTAACAACAAATATTTCGTTCTACTGAACGCAAATTTGCTATGCTGTGAGTGGGTTTGGAGAGACAAATCATATATTATGATGACATCCTCTTAATGCAGGGTCTTCCAGAAAAACGGGAAAATATGAAATAAATAAGCAAATTTATTTCTGCATTATTTTTATCGAGAACAGAAACTAAATTATATATATCATTATAAGAGTCAAAATAGGTTGAGAATCTCTTGTTTTTAAATCGATATCTGTTAGCCGATGGTGTCCATTGGTAGGTACATATCAACTTAACCTAACATAACCGTTTTTGTAAAACCCTTTTCGGCTAGTTGTGATCCTACCCCGGTGATAAATGATGACAAAATGGCAGATACTTGTGCTTACAGAGATACCATCTTGACCAACCCATAACCGGCTACAGTATATAGTTCTGCCCACACTGTCAAAACCGTCCGGGTTCTCCTGGAAGACCCTGTGTTCGTGGGACGTGGGTGGGTCGATCGACCACCGCTGGACACTGACTTGTACGTGACTAAGACGAAGTACATGGCGAACTCGTAGGCGACGAACAGCACGACGGCGTACGCGGAGAAGTGCTGCCAGACGCCGGTGACGTGGCCCAGCTGACACAGGTCGAAGAAGCACTCGTTGGTGGCGCGGATGACGGACGGCCACAGCATGTGCGCTTGGCACACGGCCGTGGCCGCGATCCCGGCGAACATCATGTACACGAACAGCTCCTCGATGTCCAGCACCCGGGTGGCCAGCAACTTCTTGGCCAGCTTCTGGTAGTTCTTCAGGTTCCGGATGGACACGACGCTGACGGCCAGCGACACCAGCCAGTAGAGCGCCGTGTGGAACGCCTTGAGCGCCACTCCCGGCCAGTGGACCCGGAAGCGTCGGGACGGCGGGCCCGGTGTCCGCGCCGCCGGAAACACGCCGAACAGGTAAGCGCAGACGTGCAGTGGCCGATGGAGTTTCATGGTGCAGGCGCAAAGTCGTCCTGTCGTCGCGAGTTGGTGAACAGCAGTAAGTGTCGATACGTCCAAGCGTGCGGTGTGTATGCTGTGTGTGTGTGTGTGTGTGTGTGTGTGTGTGTGTGTGTGTGTGGTCGGAACGCGCCATACGCGTGCGCGAAAGACACAAAAAAACCGTCACAATAAACGCCGTATAATAGTATAGTAAGATTCCCCCCCCCCCCACTATAGACACCACTGCTAAAAGATATGTTACAAAAGGTGTTGTAATAATTATTTACGTTTTAACGAATATTTATAAGCTGCTAAAAATAATAAAAATCAAATTCACTACCTACCCACAGGTAAATTATTGAAAGATTGACAAGACAGTTTATAACTTGAATTTTATGGGAGAAATGAATTTTTTTAAATATTCACTCATATTTAAATGATGTGTAATATAACTATGTGTAATTTGAGGGCATCGTAAAAAATTATCTTTGTATCCACTCGGTATAACTGCAGCACGGCGATCTATTTAACTGCGGATCACGGTCGTACATTTTTTAGTCAATTGTTCTGTTTTTCAATAATAGTAAAAAATGTCTTCGCTTACTATGATTAAAATTTAAAATTATACAGTTATAGTTTTACAAATAAACAACCTACAAATTAATTATTTTTTAGATTTTAATTTTGTTTTCAATAATTTCAACTTTCAAGTATTTACAACATATATGTTTCAATCTCAGTATCTATCTTCTAATCGGAAGCACAGTATTTTTTTAAAATTGTATTGTATAGGGCAGTTAGGTACAGAATATTTTTCGTTGTCTTGCTTTATATCTTTTATTTTATTAAACGTAATTCTACGTTTAGATGACCGAAATAAAATCCAAAGGATATCCCGTAAGAGCGGTGATCCACGTGGAAACATACTAATTAAGACTTTAAATTAATGTTAATAAAATTTTAAAAAAGTTCATAGTAGATTAGTTCTATATTTGATGTATTATTTTATACATCAACAATTTAAAAAAAGGGTTTTCGTTTCTGATAGTAAAATAAAAAACATGCATGAATTGTAATCAGAGACGTACGCGGAAGATAATAAATTCCTTCATTTGTGTCTTTGGTACTTCCACCTCAACGCATTTAAATGTATTTGCTTATAACATCCCCCCCTCAATTGAAAATCTCTAGGCACGCCACTGATTTCAATTTAAAAAATTTTAAGTACCTAGAAACCACTATGACCAGAAAAGTAAATAATACATATATGGGCAATATACTAATACATACAATTATGGGCTATAATAATATGCGGTAAATTAGTATAGTACCAAATAGTATTTCGGAGTTCAAAGTGGGTAAGTTAAATCATTTACAAAAAATAAAAAACATAATAATTTTATAATAATTAAAGTAGTGTAGCCTAGTTTTAAACCAATCACCTAGTAGTACCAAGTAATTTGAAAAGTACAAGTACAATGTCATATTAACATAATATATCAAAATAATACTTAATACCCATAATATATAAACTAGTCTTCACCGCGTGGACTACAATGGTCGAGCTTTTAACGTGACCTAAAAACGTCGTTTTTTATGTTAGTCATCGTTGTGTTGATGTTGTATTGCAGCGTTTTCCGTATTATTATTATTATTATTATTATATTGTTGCTGTTGTTTATGATTCGAATCCCCGTACCGAGTAGATGTTTTTTTTAGCGGCAAACAATAAAAAAAACCGCTTCTCAACCAAAACGCCTATAGTTTTATAGCGACGCCGTAAGCAATGTTTTTATGGTGTTTTCCTTTGAACTGCCAATTTAAAAAGATAAATTTTTTTCGGTCCTTATCCATAGTACACGATGCAAACGATTTGCAAGTTTGCAACAATACATATTATCATACACAAACTCGCATTATATTGTATACATAATACACAATGCCTTAACGGATAGTATGTGAGCACAGTTGTCGAGCGTTTTAAACTCTTGCAAATTATTTGAGTAGACATATTTAAGAATTTTTATAGTAATTAGAATAGTTTAAATTAAGTATTTTACTGTCTTGGACTTATTTGGACTCCAAAACTAAAGAATTTTCATAAATTAAAAGAATTATATATTCCTAAAATTGTTAAATATTTATTTATTTCATAATATTTTGTTAACAAAGGTTTACTGTTTGATAAATAAAAATAATTTTAATATTTATAACTGCAAAATTTTTAAATGTCGTATATTTCTGACCCATTTGTATAGGTACTTATATAAATAGTGACACCATCATCGGATTACATTGCCGTATGAATGTTAATCAAACGATACAGACTTTGTTTGTTAATGGATTTGATGATAAATATAATGAAATACCTATATCGAATGGATAGGCATAGAAAATAGATATAGTCTTAAATGCATGCCGTTTTAAATGGTAACGTAATGTTATATTATCATAGTTAATAAGATTTACTACACGTCTTCGTGCTTCATTGTGATGCTGTTAATGGAACTATGAAGTTAATACAGAATAAGACCTAGACATTTTTTTAAACAATACGAAAGAGGCAGATAGATCACGAAAATGAAAACGTAGATAAGAATAACGGGGGATTCAATTAAAATAACTTTTATTGATGTTGATTTCATTAGCATTCATCTTCCATTAGAGTTTATACTACATGCTTTAAATTAAAGATTTGGTTAAGTTAATATTTCGTAATTTAAAATATACCAATTTTATTCAATAATATTAGAATTATCGAGGAAATTATTGAATACCGATAGGTGCTTGCATGAAGATTGCTTCATACAACACAATTTGTTTTGAAAAAAAGTTGGCTTCGGTTTGACATTTCATTATAAACGAAATTTCAATATTAGAATTACTTCATAATAACATCTTATAACTCACCGCTCTACGCTGTTTGATTGAAACCAAAAGTTAATTCAACACATTGAAAAAGCACATAAACGGTTTCATATACATTTCAACAATAAACTGTTAGTATACGAAATTCGTTTTTTTTTTACTAGACATTTACTGTAGTAAAAAGTTTAATATTTTATATTCGTTTTCAATTATTCACCTTAACAAAATATTCGACTTTAATTCGAATTCAAATAATAACAACATCAATCGTGCTCCCGCCATAATATTATTGGAAATCTGACGATTGACGAGATTTATAACTTATAAATAAAATTCTCCGGTCACAGTGTTTATTATTGAATTCCTCCGAAACGGCCGATTTTCATGAAAGTTTTAGAGTATATTTTGTAGGTCTGAGAATAGAGCATAATACATTTTTTAAGCCCATTGGTGTTATGGGTGGCTCACACAAATTATTTTTTAATATTTAACGTGTAAATTTCATGATAATAATAATAATAATAATAATAATAATACTCAATCAGCTGCGTACAACTACATTATGGTTACCGAATATTAGTATCGATAACTTTTAAATAAAGAGAAAGAGAAGAAGAAAAAAAGTGAATAATGCCAACAAGACGAAATTGGCAGTATTTGAGCAGTCGAACAAATGCAGCTAGAAACATGATAAATAGAAGAGCACAAAAAACAGACGAACAAATCCACTGCCATATTACGAATGTGTGTGTGAGTATTGCTCAATTTCTTGAATCTCAATCACAAGAGGTACGAGTTAAACGCAAAGTACAACGATGGTTGGGTCAAAGACAAGTCTGTCGTAAAGTATTTTTCCTCCTCCTACTCCCAACTTTTGTCGCTCAAACAGATATTTTGAGATTCAAAAAGGAAATTTTTGTTTATAAGTGGTGGCTATTGGTCATTGGAGAAATTGGTATTTTTTTTGTTGCTTATTGGTGAGGTTAATCTGGTAAATCAGGTATAAGCGTGCATAAAATTTAATTTTCGCAAATAGCCTACCAAGGTGTCTGAATCGCACTTATATCCGCACGTCGGCGAGTCCGCAACCAAAATAAAAACGAATAAATAAAAATAAAACATATTATTTGTACAGAGTACGCATAAAGTGGGGTCTATGTTGCCTACCTGTTAATATACTGCTCTATCACCGCCGAGTCTCATATACAGTTGGCGTTTTAACGGGCATCTAAGTGACCGGGATCAGCTAGTTAAGCATAAATATATAATATAATAATATGGATATATTATATTATTATGCTGTTGGGTACCTACATACTATTGCGCCGTTATGACATTCAAAAATATAGAGTAAGTAGAACAATAACTTTCCGTGTTTACATTGGTTTCATAGTATTCGTGTTCGTAACTAAACAATAATACATTCATAAAAATATATATTATCATTGCGATATTATTGAATGAAGTAGAAATTAAAAGTTAATTTAATTTAATATTTTAAATTAAAGTCAACTTTTCAATTTTTCAATTAAATATAATATTATTTCTTAAATTGATTTAAGCTATAGTAGGTATCAATATTTTAATAGCAAACAATATATATCTTACTATAAACTAACCACATTAATTTTGAACTACGTGACTTTGTGTCAAACTCTTAAAAACAGTTTAAGCACTTGAACACCAATTAATTATAAATTTAGATTTCTATCTGTTTGTTTCCATAAAATAAAATAAAAATCATGTGAACCATCTATTGATTCTTTTTCTTGTTTCATAAAAAGTAAAGTTATAAACAAATGTTATCTTTATTTAACGAGTATAATCTATTCGATTATAATATTGAGTTAAAAAAAATCTTTTTATAATATCGGAAAAACTTTACTAAATATCATTTGAAATGTCTTATATTTTTTTAGTTTTTTACTGTCAATACCAAATATCTAATTACGGCTAATAGTGATTATAATTATTAATCATTCTACAATTAATTATTTACTAATTGATAAGTATGCCATCGGATGATTAAAAAATTATCAATTTATGTTATTCCACTGTAACTTGGGAACTTGAAACAATAAAAAAATATCTACAAAAATAAGTTCTTAGTTTCTAATAGTAATCATCATATTATTGAAACACTGCAAAAAAAAAAAATA